TCCATTTTATCCACACCATAGTAGAGCATGCACAGCCACACAGTAGCCAACTCCACCCCCAAAGATCACCAGTAAACAGTGCCCAGCGCGACGTCATGACCAGCCACGCACGCGCGTACCGGCCAGACCTTGCTCATAGCAAACGTGCGCCACGCCGGTGCTTCAGTCGCGCGCAATGATTTGCCCTCTGGTGTCTTAGGCGCGTGGCCTAGTGCCGATGTGTGTCGTTGGTGAGAAGGGCGCCGCGTCGCCAGCGCCTTCTTGCGGTGTCTAGTTTTGCTGTTAGGGGTCCCGTACGTCATAGCTCGCGATCTTCGACCAGGCTCCATAAAATACACGACTGCTGCTGCTGCACGCGCGTAGGAGATTGCGTTGCCCCGGATTCAAGGCATTCTTGGCCTGGACATTCAATCGACGAAACGTTTCGGATCTGCGCTCTCTACGTCGTTCGTCTGAGGCCCTGTCATTGCTTGTTCACTTTCTTCTCTCACAATCCTCCGCTGCAGCACGCCTTGCTTCTTATCCCTTTCAACGCCTGGAAATCCCCGAGTCGTCCATCATGGGCATCTTCTCGCGCCGCCGCAAGTCGGACGACACCGCCGTCACGCAAACCGCTCCAGACCTCAGCAAAGAACAGATCAAGCGCGCAACTCGCACACGCAAAATATGGGCGCTGATCACATCCTTCTTCCTCTTCATCACACTCATCTTCCTGATCCTCGTCAATATCTCTGGTGTACGCAACAAGGCCGTTATTAAGGATTGGTACTTCATTCGCCTCGACCTGAGCCACATCGTGCCTGCCAGCGTACCGAATTTCGCTCTTATCAACACTATTGCGCAAACGCTCGGACTGCATGATTTCTACCAAGTTGGCCTATGGGGTTTCTGCGAGGGATACGCGGGTGAGGGCGTGACTTTCTGCAGTGAGCCAAAGACGCTATACTGGTTCAACCCTGTGCAAATCCTGCGTAATGAGCTTCTTTCCGGGGCTTCGAGTAAGTTGCTTCACGTCCCGATTCTCAGATATCGTGCATTGGAAACAGAGTAACTAACATGCATGTCTACAGTCAACCTTCCCGCCGACATCAACGACATTCTCGACCTTATTCATCTCGTCTCCAACTGGATGTTCGGTCTCTTCCTCACCGCAACAGTCTTGTCTTTCGTCCTCATCTTCGTCATGCCCATCTCCATCTACACGCGCTGGCTTACCCTCGTCGTCGCCATCCTCGCCTTCCTCAACGCCCTCTTCGTAACCGTCGCCTCGGTCATCGCAACCGTCATGTTCATCATCTTCCGCAACACTATCGGTGGTGTGGCTGAACTGAACATATCGGCAGAGATAGGCACCACGCTCTTCGCCTTCATGTGGGTGGCAAGTGCTTTCGCCATCTTTGCCTGGCTCGTACAGATGGGGCTCTGCTGCTGCTGCGCCTCAAGGAGAGATGTCAAGAAGGGCAAGAAGAGAGGAAACGAGAAGGCGTACCACATGGACGCTGCTGGCACAGAGGCAGGCGGCATCAGGGACACCAACATGGTCGCCGGCGAAGCGAACGAGAAGCCACAAAAGAAGAAGTACCAGTTCTGGAAGCGTGGTTAGGAACCTCTTCCATCAACTTCAAACCTCTTCGAGCACATTACACGCATAGACATCGACTCGGACATTGAAGTCCTAGAAGCTAGCCCATGACACGCTTAGTGCCGGCTACGCAAAAAGAGAAATTTGGAATCTGTAACATTCAGCGAGCGCGGCGTTGGTTTGGCATCTTCGGTACAGCGCGGCATAGCACAGCGCAGCGTTGGACTTTTGCATTCGACATGACATGACATTGATCACGGACATATTCCTTCACCCATACATACAACCTAATGATATCGTTATTACAGCTAGAAGACCGATCGTGCATTCCTGGATGGGTATCTTAGTCGTGACCGTCCTATGACTTAACTCCAAAACTCGCAGCTTATCTGTGTTCAATTTGCTTTCCCTTGTGCAGCACTCTTGTTCATCTTCTCTAGCGTATCCATGTCGATGATTCTCAACTCCGTCCTGGCCCACAGGATGATCATGCATATTACGCCCGGCAAGAAGCCTCCTCCCACCATGAGCCCTTCACCCCAGCCACGCCCTTGCCAGACCTCATACAATGCCAATAGCCCACATGCAGCCCTGTTGATAGGCACAATAGAATCCGCTATCTTATCCGCTGCCTCTTCCGAGATGTACGGTACAGGCCGCCTTACACTCTTCTCAGTCGGTTGTTCCCACGACGGTGTCTTGTTGTAGATTCCATATCCACCCAGAGGTTTCTTAGCCTGCCCTTTTCCTTTCAATGGTTGTTGGAGTGTCGAGGGCGTGACGTCTACACCATCGATTGGCTCCATCTGCGTCGGCGGTAGCGGCAGGAAATATAACGTATACGCTGTTGCTAGCAGACTCGCGATAGCGACTAGACTGGTCGGGAGGGTTGACAGGGCGAAGAGCCGCGGGATGTATAGGAGTGTGGGGAGTAAGGGTAGTGCGAGGAGGAAGAGCGTATATGTGTGTGTCGTGGACGTGTCGTGTGTGCTGAGGGTTTGGAGTAGGGCTGCGCGGTCTGTGTAGTTCTGTCAGCAAGGCGGGGATTAGGCATGGAGGAGAGCGAAGGGTACCTTGTTCGTCCATACCCGCTTCTACGGTATCTTCATCGTCGGATTCGGACGGGTACTTGAACGTCTTGCGCAGGCGTTGCGCTGCCACTGTCTCGGCTTCCTTGAGCTTCTCCATCTTTTTCTGCGCTTTTTGCGCGAGTTGGTACGGGGTTTGAAGGATTCGGAGACTTGAGTGTATGTTATGTGGAAAAGGATTAGACGGGATTATGTGTTAACTGAGACCCGGTGATTGAAAGGTGGCCTTTCGTGGCTACCTGCGCGCGTGCGGCAAGGCAACCGGGTTGTTGGACTGTTTGGGTCGGCGGAACGGATGATGACGTTTGTGGGGGACATCTGGACCTGGACCCTGGGATTAGCGCGCTGGACCTGCATGCATCATTTGCAACCATCACAGTAAAGTCGTTATTTCTCTAGCTACCAAATCTTCGGCTAGGGCCAGTTCCCATCCATCATGGGCGGTTGGACCTTTTGATATTTCTCGAGATCTTCTCCACCGACGAAATGCAGTCTCACGTGCCTCCGACGAGGCCTAGCTGGCGCCTGATTGATCCAGATATTGCGTTCCATATAGCAACGGCAATGGCGAAAACTCCGAGCGGTCTTTGGGACTGGAGCCTGGGGCTTCGCACAGAAGCTGAACTATAAATCGGTCTGATCTCTTGTCCGGGTGGGAGCTTCATCTTCTCTATCATCTCTTGGATTTTACTTATCTTCACAAAAGAATATCCATCGCTACTCCTACATAACGCGACCCATCTGGTTCCCTTCAGTTGCTCAAGCCCTAATCCACGCTTCTTTCGCAGGAATATCCCACCTCCTCAACCACCTCGAAGCACAACATGCCCCTGGAACTCCAACGCTTGCCGAGCACACGAGAGCTGAGACGCATCGCTTACCCGACCTACCTGGAAGACACCCCGAGTATGCTGAGCGACGCATCTAGCGACGAGAAATCCAGTTGCCATCTCACTCTCCAAGACGAAGCCCTTGCCTCTAGGGGTCCCACCGTACCGGGCGTTCCACAAGATACACTGTGTCAATTCTTTGAGCTCCTTCCACGTGAGATTCGAGACGAGATATATCGCTACGCACTCGGAAATCTCTGCGCTACCTTTATGCACGGTAACACTCAGGTAAGAGTAAGGTATCATATCCACAAAGGACCTATTATAGATACTTATAAAGAGCAAATCCCGTGGATGCGGGCGAGCAAGCAGATGTATCAGGAGGCTACCGAGCAGTTTTATTATCTGGCTCGCTTTGACATGGACCTGGACATGCGCTACAAGCTTCTTCATGTCAAAGACGTCATGCGACAGGTCAAGATACGCCACGCTCCCACACTTATCCGAGCGAGATTCCTTTCAGTAGTGAATCTGACGGTAGGAACTCTTCGCCAAACGGAAAGCTTGACCGAAACTCTGCATTTCGACACAGAAACTGAGCAGTACAAAGCACTAGTTGATCTCTTCCCACGCATGGTTGCATTACGGCAATTTGAGATCCGAATGAAACTCAAAGTCCCGCCATGTGATGAATTCTGCGATGCGGAGTACCGACCCTCACTCTCGTTGCTCAGAAGTCTACCTTGTGCGTCACTGGTGAGACTACGCGTCGAAATCGAGTGTGCTTATAGGACATACGATTGCAACTCCATCGCTTGGACGCTTGCCGCGAATAACGTCGCCAGCAGGCTCTCTGATCCTCTCAAGAAAGAGATCGAAAAGTGCGCACTGCATGCAGTCAGGGGAGACGATCATCAATGGAAAGAGTGGAAGGAGGAGGCAATCCAAAATGTGGTTCGATGGCGTCACCAATTCCTTACCCATCTCACGCTAGGTTTTGAGATTACAATGGCTCAATACAGGTGAGTACAATGTCTGAACAGTACTTTGGTAGACATATGACTGTTTTGCTATGGCTAATTTGAAGATTGCGCGTCACATTCCGTAGAAAACTGCATCCTATGGAACTGCGCTGACGGAGAGTCGCCACTTCAGAAATTTATATATTACACCTAGTCAGGTCTCTCCGAGAAAGCATTATCGCGAACACAAGAGCTAATCCGCGGTAGTGTGGTTGATAATATTCCGTGGAGGTCTTACTCTTGTTTTTGCAACAACGATAGAGCGAACTTCCAGAAGACAAAGTTGTCATGACCGTCAATCTACTCGCCCCTGGTTCGCCACCTTTAGCTGTCTGATGTTGTGACTGTGCTCCAAATAATCAAGGTGAGACTGCCTGTCTTTGCGCTAGCTCCGTTTGCTCGTCTCCACCCAGGTCCTACAACTTTTCGACCTTTGGACGTGCCGACCAACACGTAACTCCCACATTAATCCACAATCATGGACGTCGATACCTTGAGATCTCTTCGTGTCTTCGAGGACAAGTAAGCAAATCAAATCCCGGCGTTTTTCATTTACTGATCTCCCAGGACAACCAGGACAACCAGGACAACCAGGACAACCAAGAACCAGCGCGATTCACCTCTCCTTCGTCTCCCCGCCGAACTCCGCAACAAGGTCTACGATTTGGTGTGCTCAAACACTCAAGTCCGCGTCAGAAGGCCGCGCTTCTTCGCAGCCGCTCTTGGTCGTCATCACAAAGGAGCTCTAGCACTATTGTCTACCTGCCGCCAGCTCCGCCATGAAACATTTTCAACTTTCCACACAATGGCTGTGCTCGAAGTCAGCACCTCTGACCTAGATCAGCTGAAGAAGAGCAATGTTGTTCTTAACTCAGACCTTTGGAACTCAATCCAATCAATTCAGATGCGCGGTAACGAGGTGGAGGACTGGTGCTGTTTCGCAGACGTCTATAATGGCAAGTCTCTTAGGGCGTCAGGTGGAGATTACATGTACATCGGCTTTCTTCCATCACTCCAGCATGTTATCGTGGTTAATCATGTTGATGAGGGCGAAGAGTGCTATGGCTACAGCCACCATGAAATCGCCGACACTCTTGAGTTGGCTTTTGGAAAGAGTACTCTTTCCATTCACATTCAGGAGGGAAAATGTGAGGAGGACCTCTTTAGGTGGATTGACTGAGATTTGAGGCGGTGCAGAGAAGTGTGTAAACGGTCACTGATTAAGCAAATGCGAAGACAGGTGCACTGTCCAAATAATGTAGTAGCTGAGAACCCAAACTTACCTAGGTAGATCGCATAATGTCTCTCTTCCCACTTCTCATACTGCGCTCACCTGTACCTATGGCTAACCCCACCACAAAGCCTTAGTCATCTTCCAAACCTTCTGCACATCGGATGAATGACGGGTCAGACTGTACGTACCGCATTCCATAAGCAGTGTCTCTCGGTCGAGCTCTGCAAGTGAACGTCAGCGATCGAGATACCCAAAGAGTGCAGCATTCGGAATCCGGCTGTCTAAAGCCACGATCGTTCGACTTCAGGCTAAAGCTATCAGCAGTACCTAGGTAGCAACAACTGTAATCCACTGCATACAAACACACATCGACTTTCTTTCTCCGAAGTCCCCAAATATGGCTTTTCGACTGTCGAAGATATAGACTAGGTGGGCAGAAGAGCGAGGTCGGAGCAGATCGAGTTCGGGCGAACCCAAATCGGTAGCAGCGTGCACTATGGCGAACAACGACCAACTGGACAACACTATTCCCATATTTTGCACCGCAAAGATACCTCACGATGTTGGAACCTCAATCCAATATTGGAAAAGATGCAGATAACTAACATCATCTTCAGCTTCTTAACGAGTTTTTCATTGAGGCTTTCGAGGCGCCCGAGCTGAAGGCGGTGGAGTGCACTCACATAGGTAAACAGAACCAGCATACTCTCGAGCAAAACGCATGCTGATTGATACCACCCAGCCATTCTAGTCGACACGACCGATATCACCAAACTCGCTTCGCCCACGCGCGCCCCAGTGACGCAAAACCTCTCCTACCCGTTCCTGAACTGGGGGCTGGACGATCTCGTTAAGTTCGCGTGGCAATTCGACGGCGCTGAACGGGGCATCATAGGCACAGAATTTGTCATAATGGATGAACAAACACTTGAGAATAAAACAGTAGTACTCGTTACGCCATCCGAGGACTATGACAATGTCGAGACGGCGCCTAGACTAACTGCACGGTCGGATTTCCGCTCTAGCCTCATCACGCTGAACGTCAAGAGTATGGGAGTAGGTGGCGATGAGCCGTGGGAGGAAGCGGCGGAGCAGGGTGGACGGGCGATTAGATTGTATGACGGAAAGAGTTCAGAGTAGGCCGGGCAAGGAATCATGGAACGAACGAATCCAACCCCCAATTCCATGCTTCTCATTTTATTCTACAGCATTCTTCTCCTTCCACTCCCCAGCCGCCTCCTCATAAGTGCAGAAACCCACGTCTCCTTCCCACGCCTTCAGCCACTTAATCACTCTTTCAATCATGCCAATGACATGCGCCATACCACTGGTATCCGGATGCAAGACCAACGGGAAAACCACTACATCTTTGTCCCCATTACTCTCAAGCATCTCGCTCATAATCCACTCAAACTTGTCCTTCCACATGTTCTCCATAACGCGAACGTCGACATAGCCGTGCGAGTTGGGTGCATTGGGAAGATACTGGAGCGGCGTCATATCTTCCGTGTACCAGTTTGCCGGGATCTCGACGAGGGTTTTGGTTGTGGGGGCACTGGGCTTAGGCAGGGGTTTCATCCAGTCTTTCGCAGAAGCCTCTTCGGTGTACTTTGGCGCTTTGATGGGTGGGAGGTTCGGGAGGTAGTACGGTTTGCTGTCGTGGTGGGAGAGTGAGGAGTCATAGAGGAAAGAGTACTCCTCTAGTAATTCGACGGTACTTTCGCGGAGTTGATAGAGCGGTGCGCGGTAGCCCAGTGGACGTTTCCCTAGTAGTTCCTGGTAGAGGCTTATACAGTGCTCGAGGACTTCGCGTTCTTGGGTGGGCGTAAGCTGAGGGGCGCCTTCGTGGCAATAACCGTGTAACCCTATCTCCGCGCCGCTGCTCTTGATGGCAGCAAATTCTTCTGGGAAAGATTCTGCACTATGCATCGGCACAAACCAGGTTACTTTGTTCGCGATGCCGTGCTTCGCAAAGAGCTTGAGTAGTCGGGGAACTCCGACGTGGCCACTGAAGAAGCCAGTACTGTAGTCCGCGAGGTTGTTATCGGGGTGTTGGCCAGTACCAAGCCAGCCCGATACTGCATCAAAATCCACAGAAAGCAGGATCTTGATCTTCGGTTTCGGTGTTGGTTGAGAACTGCCGAGAGATGACATGGTCGGGACAGCCATTGCTGATGGGATCCTACTAGCTAGAGAGACTCCTTCGGTTGCGGTGCCAAATATCTCGGCCTCACCAGTTGCGTTGAGAGATGGTGTTTCGGGCTCGACAGCAGTTGCCTGTGATTTGCGAACTTCTTCCTCGGACCACACAATACGACCTTCCATACCGCCATCCACAGATATGCATTGTCCGGATATATGACCTGCAGCGCGATGACTTGCCAGGAAAGCAGCTGCTCTCGCTACGTCCGTAGGTTGAGCGATTTTTCTGAGCGGCACACTGCAATCGTTAACAAGGTGTCGGAGAGTCAGTATGAGCGTCAGACTCACGTAGCCTCCGCCTCCCTCCACATCTCCCCTGGGTCATCCAACCTCCCTTCAATCAACTTGGTCTCCACCCATCCGGGCGCGACGGCATTGATCCTCGCGCTCTTATTCAGCCTAACAATCTCGTTCTTCACTGTCTTCACCAGTCCGTATTGTAGCCCTGCTTTCCCACTCGCATATTCCGCATGACCTGCCTGACCAAAGACCCCACACTCGGACCCCGTCACCACGATACTGACATTTTTGACTTCCTTGCCAGTATCGCTTTGCGACTTCTCAATGGATTTGAGAAAGTGCTTGATGGTCAGGTACGTGCCACGCACGTTGACAGCGTAGGTGCGGTCCCAGAGCTCACTGGGCATGTCCCAGATAGGATAGCTGGACGATTCATCTGTGATACCTGCATTGGCGCAGAGGATGCTTATAGGCTGCGAGAAATGGCGGATGGCTTGGGATATGGAGTCCTGGATGGAGGCTTCGGAACTGATGTCGCCTTGGAGGCAGTGGAGGTTGGGGTCTGTTGAGGCGAGAGGATTTGGGCGAAGATCGTGTGCAGTGACTTTACAGCCTTGTGCTATGCTGGCGTTAGTTACGGTTACATGAGAGCAAAAACACCAATCAAGATGATGGCGTTGATTCCTTGTCTTGTAGGCCGAAGCCCTGGAGCGTGCCTTCCACCGCAGGGTGAGGGCTTGACCAAGAACCTGAGCCCACCATGGACCCTGCAAACTTCACTTGATGTGCAAGACTCCTTGACAACTTCAAAGGCACAAGACCATGACATACCTAGAAACTCTTCTACAATCGCACTACCAATTCCTCCGGCGGCTCCAGTAACAAACACATGCAACCCCCCAAGTTCGAGAAACGACATGATGCACCTTGAAGACGCCTTCACTGCTTCTGCGGCCAGGCGGTCAAGTTCAGAGTGTCACTCTATCAACTCAGCTCCACAAGATGCGCGCCCGCATACGTAATGTAGCAACAGCCGACCCGGCACCCACGATAAGCCCTACGTTATCACCTTGAGGAGCTTCCGAAGAGGGCAACGGCTAGCACTTGTCGCATGCTGTTATTTCTGCGCGCGCAATCGAGATGGATGTGCACACGTAATCCTGAGTGCAGATGGCGATAGCGAGGCTCAGTTGAGGGGGTGATATCGACCCCTCTTCCGCACACCTCAGCTTGAGGAAGCTGCAGCTAGAATACGCGAAGAACAATCGAACAGCTTCTACAAACTAGCCTAATCCATCAGGCGCTTTGGGTATGCGGTGTCTGCGCCTACGGCCAAATCTCAACAAAAGTAAGACGAGTCCCACGCGCAAGGGCTCGAAGGGCACATCGCGACTCCGTACTTGTTGTTTACTAAGAACGCCACTGTGCCCTTCCGCCCCGCCGACCCACCCTGACGGACCGTCAAACTGCCCAACGTGGTAATTTTGACAAAATCCATTGATTTCCGATGGCCGAAGGGCACACTGCTAGAGCTTAGGTGACCAATGAATTGGGTCGGTGATCTGCGGGATACGGGTGCGTGCGGAGGGGCATAAAGGCGCGACCAATTGGGAAGAAGGGTGTGTAGGAGATGTTAGTTGGTCGGGCAGAGGGCGAGGGCACGGGTCGGCGATGATGAAGATGGTCGCATACGTGCTCTGAGCTGAATGGGCGATACGTTTGTAGTAATGTTCATTGGTTTCGGCCACTGCACTTTGCAAGCGCAGAGTCTCCTTCTCTAGATGATGGAACATGGGCTATTGTGCGCACTTTGCTTCCCATCTTAACTTTTGTTGGTATCATAACGCCGTGGTTCATGGTTGAATTACAAGGTAATGTCCTCGGTGCGGTAGTGGTCTGCTACGATGCGGTAGAGATATGAAGGAGCGTGTCCGCCACTATAAGACATTAGCTTACATTCAAGGCATCGAGCTGTTCAAATCGCGACTTACAGGTTGGTGATGTAGAGATCCACAAGGTCTGCGGGAACATAGTCGTACAGTGGGTTCTCAACATCGACCTTGTCGACGAACTCGCCGTCGTCGTATGGCACTACACTTCCGGCATCACCGTGTTCGATCAGTTCGTCGATGTCGAATGGGTAGACTGGGCTGAGCTTGTATACACCGCTGAGTACGACAACAGGTGTCTGGTGCTCCTTTGCGGCCTTTGCAATCATGTGTGCTCCAGCTGCGGCTACCAGGCCGCCGTTGGCTAATACGGTATGGGTCGCCAGAATGACCTTGTTAACGCGGGACATTATGGCGAAGACATGGGAGTCTGGAATGACGTAGACTTGGATACCAGCATCGGTGAGGGGCTTCCACTTGTCGTCGTCCTCGTCGTCATCTGGATTCGCCTCTCGCTTCTTGCCTGTAAGAAGGATGCCATGCGTGGCAGTGTGGTCGTGTGGATACGTCTCGGCGTGTACGACTGTGAACTTGCGTTTCCGTGCGGCGAACAGGAGGAACTTCTGGACTGTTGTGGATGCAGTGTGGGTGAGGATGATTTCGTTGGCGTGGATGTGCTCGAGGGCGACTTCGGCAATCTGCTTGTCTGAGGTTTCGAGCTCGTCCTGAAGTTCTCTTATGCCCTCCATGACCTCGCCCTTCAGGTCCAAATTTTGGCTCTTGTTGATGCCCTCGAGGCGCTCCAGATTGAGTGCCGTCAGCGTGCTCTTGCCATTTGGCGACGCCTGCCCTGTAGGGGTGCTTGTAGTTGAGGGTGTATCTGCTGGCTGGGAGAAGAGGCCAAAGAGCGAGTGGACGAGGGGAGCGGACGAGGTAGGCGCGTACGAGGTGTGTGAGGTGAGCAACGGGGGCCGTCTCGAGGGCTCGCTAACGTCGGAGGCGTTGTCGGTGAAGACGCTCGTGGGCATGGGTTCGGCAACGGCATGCCGGAGAGGGCTGAATGTGGAAATGCTCGAGTTGAGCGCTGGTCTGTGGAGAGAGTCGTGCTGCGCGTGTGCATGTGGTGTTGAGTAGCCTGGCTCGCTGCCTGTTGGTGTTTGCCCTTCGGCATGCTCGTCGACCACCTCGCGCACCAGTCCCAGTACGCGCCGTACGATGTTTCCTACCACCACCTCGTGTGGCTGCGCCGATGTCAACCGCCTGCCGACTTGCTTTATGCGCTCAATGAGCTTGGCGGCATCCCTGCCCTTGAACTCGCCCACCACGCGCAGAAGAAGGGCCGTCGTCGCAATGGCACATGGTCTCGAGTTCCGTATTTGTCGCCGTTTGAGAAGTCTGGGGTAGGGATATTAGTTGTAGTTGCGCTACTGCGCGGAAAGGCGTATCTCACGAGATGAAATGCTCCACCGAGGCATCTACTGGAGTACTCTTTAGTGACTTCAGGTAGGTTGACAGACCCGGCGCCTGTACCGTCGCGCCCTGCATCGTGGGGATATTTGCAGATTTGTACTCGAGCGTCCCAAGATTTCGAACGGTATATAGCAGTTATGTGGGGTGGTGGGGTTGTTCCTGGATGACTCTGCGGGTGTCTGTGTGCGTTTGAAAGGGTTCCAGACAACCGATATAATTTTAGGGGTTCAGAGTATCGGCCACGCGTGTTTTGTTTGTAAGGCACTGTTGGGGAGAGTTGCTTGTTCAAGACTTGGTGGAGGGAATGTGTGAGTCGTAACTAAATTGAGCTTTGAGCGTTCCGATTGGGCACGGGCTCTCCAGCGGTTCGTCATTGGCATGTCCCCAACCTTCTGCTTAGCTGCATACCCGTCTTCTCTCGACAAAGTCACGCCTCGGCCTGCTGCTAGTTTCGCCAGTGCTGGACGAGCATCTTGACTGCGCTGTCGCTGTGCACACTCTTCCCAACAGCCCCACCATCACCGTCACGGAGGTCCTACCGTCATCCCAGACATAAGCATCAGCGCACCCAGCACCCAGGCTACCCCACAGTCCTTCGCCATTCTCCAACCTCGGCCCTCGATCTCATCTCCCGCTGACGATGCGAGTGCAATAGCTGCACAGAGAGAGACGCGCAAGATGGGCGCCGACAGGAGTGACGGCTCCGGCTCCGGCTCCTCGAATACGGAAGCGGTCGCATCCGGATACGACGAAAAGACACCTCTACTCGAGCAACCCCAGAAGGGCCCCTACGAAGACACCAAGCGGCGAAGGAGATGGCTGTATCCGTCGCGCATATCTGACGGCATCGTCGCGGTGGTGGGCGTCCTCGCAACCCCCTTTGTCTATACGGGGCAATGTCTGGTGGCCGCCTTCTACTACGAAGAGGATGGCCACTTCTCCTTTCTCGCCCCGATCTATCACATCTCGCGGACATTCACTCGCGGACGTCGGAAAAAGGTTGCGGCGCACGCTTCACGAGCCTCGGGTGCCCCAGACCGTAGCGAGAAAGGCACGCGCAAGAGTCGCAGTTCGAGCGTCGCGCAGCCCGTCATGAAACAACCCACGAGGCGATCACTGTCAATAGCATCAACCTCGACCGCCATGACGTCCGACTCGGAGAGCGAGCGATCTCCTACACGCGACCCAGACACCGACAGCCCGTCGCGCCATACCCGCTCCAAATCCAGCGCAACCGCACGAGCAGACGAGATCGCCCCGGCCAAGCGGTCGATACGCATCACGCTACATCACAACGATGACGCTTTGAGGCAACGCAAGGCAGCGAAGAAGGCCCAGTCGTCCAAAAGTAACTCCGTCTCCTCCGAGGCTGCCGCTTCCCTCAAATCCCCCACTGGGCCGGTAACCGCGTCTTCGAAACAATTGACCAAGTTCCCACGAGCGCCCCAACCCCCGCGCCCCCTCGTGCCACGCCGCCAGCCCTCGTACTCCGCTAAAGGCGTATCCGCTGTCGGACCGCACCAGAAGACGCTCATCATCGATCTCGATGAAACATTGATCCACAGCATAGTCAACGGCGGTCGCTTCCAGACGGGCCACATGGTAGAGGTCAAGCTCCAGGCATCTGTCGGCGCCGACGGGCAGGTTATTGGTCCCCAAGTGCCGCTCCTATACTATGTTCACAAACGGCCGTATTGCGACGATTTTCTGAAAAAGGTACGCACACCAGCCAGGCACGCCTGATGCCACACTAACGAAACGACCAGGTTAGTAAGTGGTACAATCTGATCATATTCACCGCCTCGGTACAGGAATACGCAGATCCCGTCATCGACTGGCTGGAGGTGGAGCGCAAGTATTTTGCAGGCAGGTACTATCGACAGCACTGCACTGTTCGCAACGGGGCTTATATCAAGGACCTTGCTCAGGTCGAGCCCGATCTCAGCAAAGTCATGATTCTTGATAATAGCCCCTTGAGCTACGTTTTCCATCCTGGTAAGTTCACCCACCGTCCAGTGCGCCCACTTGTGCTCGTACTGATTGTGCATCCAGACAATGCCATTCCCATCGAAGGCTGGATTAGCGACCCAACAGACCACGATCTGCTGCATCTTATCCCGCTGCTCGAAGGCTTGCAGTATGTCACCGACGTGCGTGCGCTGCTTGCGCTTCGGCTCGGCATGCCCGCATCCGCCTAGTCAGGTAGCCACAATTTTAGTGGCATTCGCTCTAGTACCTCGCTTTCTAATACTTTTTGTACTATAGACCCGTTGCGCCGAGCAGTTGGCTATGTAGCTCGTTGGAGGAGATACCCAAGATGTTATTCGTTCATGATCCACGCCTCGCTTGAAAGACGTTCCTTTTGAGTTTCTTTTACTCATTACGAACAAGGGATTACCCGCCCGTCGGCATGCAGCTCCGATCTGCCACTTGCGACTTGCCGCATGGGCCTGTCGTCTCGCCCACGTTTTCAAGCCTGCTCCCCCACGCCTGTCAATTCCCTTGTGTCCGGGGCATGACATGCGTGGCGACGGGTACTCACTCACCATGTTCTTACACATCCCGCTTATCTCCCGCAACCTTTCAGCCCCACGACGCCCATTTCTTCTCCCGTGGCTCCATGCAGGGCCGTAATTGCTCTCGCTTGGGTCCCATCAGAACGAGCACGTTGAATGCTTATTACATTAACACACCGCTGCCCCTGTCGCCTCCATGCCTTTACCATGTGGCCGTCGTCCTGAATTGTTGAACGTGCATTTTAACATCTTGTGCCAATGCATTCGTTACAGAGAAGACGCCTGCGCTCAAGTTCGATTCCATCCGAGAACTGTCGCAATAGGCTTAAAACATGGACGTAGCAATGGTTGATTCGAGGTTAGTCTATCACTAATGGCCTGGATGTAGCTAACAATATATAGCTTGGACCATCCATTCTTTGATGACGCCATAGAAGCAATACACAACACCATACTGCAAGAACATCGTCAGCATTTCGATCATCATATCAGCTCAACACTTCTACTCGAAGAGCTCCGTCGTACTACCGCTGGCAATGGATCAGCAGACCGAAGACTAGTCGTATGCAGTCAAAAGTTTACACTGTTCATTCGCACCTTTGCACCCTACTTCGATGTCCTTGGCACGTGTGTCGAATTGCAGCCCGCATGGGCAGGCTGTTTCTGGACAACTGTCCGTGTAGTCTTCAAGGTATGCATGTAGTACATTTGACATACAACTTGGACTAATACGGAAGCAGATGAGCGGTGATTGCGTGCTTGTTCTAGAGAAAATTGCCGATGTACTCGAAGCTATTTCGCAAATCATACCACCTTATCAGGAAGTTTACAACATCTGCAAGCGCAACGGAGCCGAGTCTCATGGCGAGGCTGGAGATCGTCATCTGGCTGCACTTCTGTCTTACGCATATGCGGATCTTGTACAGCTGTTTTTGGAGCTGTACCGTATCTTCTGCCGTGGGGCACGAAGTACATCCATCAGTTGTACGAACGTCCTCCACAGTGAGACACTATGGCGACCCTTCGATTCCCGGTTTGCCCACCTTGAAACACGGCTAGGCCAGCACAGAAGGTGGTTAGAAACAGAAACCGCGAACCAGACTCAATACTACGCGGACATCTCACAGCACCGCAGGAGATATATCGACTTTTTGCAGCGTCAAAACGGAGTCATGGCCAACGGTCGTGTGGAGCAAGATGAACAACGGCTCGCGAAGCGGTTGAGGAGAGTGGAGAAAGTACAGCATTGGCTATCATCTTCTACCTCAATTGTAACAAGGTCTCTCGGTACTCAACAACCTTATCAAGAGTCCTGCGATTGGTTCTTGCGTGTCGCCGCATACGCCCAATGGAGGAGTGCGCGCTTTGAGAGCAGCATGGCAAATGACCGAGAAACTTTACTTGGCAACTGGCAACATCGCGTACTGTTTGTGCAGGGTAGGTCGCCGCGCGTATGTTTCAAGTCTTCTATAAACTGACAAACGCTCAGCAAAATCCGGCTTTGGGAAGACCGTCATCTCGCATTCAGTCGTTGAAAATCTAGCTGGTGAGGCGGACGATCCTGATCTGTGCGATGAACCGCCGGCCACTGCAAGCTATCATTTCAATCACTTGCTATCCGAGAACAACCAATCTGAAGATGCCTTCCGGGCTATGACATGCCAGCTGTTCCACGCTCGTCGGCAGGACCGGTCAACTTTGGATACTGTCAGCCTCTTATTGCGGAAGACGTCCTTTCGAGAGCATGCCACCTCTGATGAAGTGCTCGATGTTCTTCTGATTCTACTTCGGCAGCACCCCACTTTCCTTGTATTTGATGGCATCGATGAGTGCAGCGATACTGATACGCTCCTTGTATCGTTAGCAAGACTCTGTCGTGGATCTGACACAAGAGTTATCCTCTTCAGCAGACCGAATTTGAAGATACCACTTGAGTATCAGAAATGGGCTTCAGATGCACCTCATATCCTCTCCCTTACCAGTCAACACAACGTTGTCGCTATCGATCAGTTTGTGGTACCGGAAATGAATCGCCTGGCAGATCAGGGCTTCTTCGGTATCTCTATGAATCGAAGGCTCATGTCGGAAGTCGCGAGGACGGCAGATGGTGATTTTCTCTGGGCCAACATGTTGTTGAAACTCCTTCAGTCGCCGCTACTGTCGTCGGACGAGCGACTGCATATCCTCCAGGGAGTGCATTCAATACAGGGCCTGGAAGCGCTCCTTTTTATCATGTTTAACGCGTTAGCGCGCCATCCACCAACAGAAAAACGCGTCATCGCCGACACATTTCGATGGTTGTCTTTCCCGATCAACCGCATGTGTCCGGGGGCACTACACGCTGCTCTGGACACATACAGACCCGACGTTCCCGAGGGTCCGCATACGATCGATATCATACAAGCCTTACCGGAACTGACATGTGGTCTTCTCTGCGTGGTCAACGACGAGATCGCTTTCACCCACAAATCCATACGCGATTACCTTCTCAACCCACTATCTCAAGGCTCAGAGTTCAGTCTCCGCGACACAAGCAGCGTCCATGGCCACCTTGCTGCACGATGCCTTTCCTACCTCGCGCACGATATACCAAAACGCCCTCTCGGCGCTTTGCAGCCTCACAGTCCAGCCATGCCACCTACCATACCTACCAGCAGTGGTGCGAGCCAAAGAACAAGCGCGTCGGTAGACAGCGGATACAAGTCCCTGTCTTCATCAGACGGAGACAATCACACCCACGCGATACCAATAATACCAACTCAACAGAAAAACTCGAGGGCGAATAGTATCCGCACCGTGCCTTTCGATACTCATCTACCCTTCCTAAGATATGCGGCACTCTGCTGGCCCATTCATCTAAGCCGCGCTCTATCCCCATCTTCACACTATACCACAACCTCCTCAGCAGATACACTCGCCTACCTACCCGCATTGAGCGCCTTCCTAGCTTCTCGTATTGCTATCACTGCCTGGGTCGAAGCTTCTTTTCGGTACAGTCTACCACCCACGCTCACGCGTCTCATTGGCCCGTTGTCGGATTTGAAGGGCGAGATTTCGCCTGCTACTGTGGAGGGCAAAGAGCTGAGGCTGGTGGTCACTGAGATGAGGATTCTGAGTGAGAGGTTGGTGGAATTAAAGAGAGAGTATGAGGGCGTCATGAGGCGGAATCCGAGTTTGATTTGGCAGATGGATGAGCCGGGTGGGAATGCTTATTGGCCGGTTTGGGAAGATGTTCTTGCAAATGGGAGTGGAAGGTAACGGCGAAAGCGCGCATCGTTTTGTTTTGAATCGTTCGGGGATGGCCGCAGCGGAGTTGGGAATGTGTACACACATGCTTTCTCGGTGGATGGCGTATTCTTCACGTCTCATGAACACATCGAGACAGTATTGGATCTTTGACATACGTACCTTGTCGCTTTAGCTAGTTTGGGATCGCTAGTGATGTATATATACCCTCCTTTTCGCATCAGAGCTCAAATCATTCTCTATTCCAACATTTTTTTCTTTCGAAAACGAATACGACAAGATCATGCTGTACATTCCCCAAAAAAACACCTACAAAATGACCATGTCTGGTCTGCTTGAGCGACTTGCGAGAGAATGCTTGTCCGAAACGAAATACATCTACTACTGGAACATGTCGCTGAATCCGCACTTCGTTGTCAGAGTCAGAACCAATGTTGAGAAATATCCACAACAAGGAACCTCTGCTGGGCTCCAAAAGGATTGCAAGCACAATCAATGTGAATGTTAGCAACTCATTCTGGAAATTCGAGAATGTGAAGGTGTATCAAGATGCTTGTATGGAGGACATCGGAACGAACTTTGAACTGGCCAAACCTGCGTCTGTATCCAAGACCGGATGTCGTAGCCGTGATGGCCCGAGGTGTTCCAAAGATCGTATCAGAAGTCACCATGTGAGAACATGGCCAAAAGCACTGGTTATCAGTCGAATGAACTGTCGGTACATAAAAACCTACCTATATTCCCCTCTCTCCTCTCCCGCAAAATATCGTGAGAAGCATGCTAAATCGAAAATAAGAAATATCCACTCCATGGTGTGAGTAACAAGGTTTGCGTTCAAGCACCAAACTATTCACTAAACGAAAAACTGTCTCTGTGTGACTGATGTGCGCTTGCTCTGCAAAATGGCACAAATGATCCATGTGAAGGGTTTCTGTGGGAAGGTGGAGATGACAAAATGTCCAAAATAACACCGCCTCGTTTCATGAAGTTCTCATCTTCTAATTTGCTGGTATTAACACATACAGGCTTCCTGATGAACCAGCCATCTCAGGATTCGGTAGTCTGACCATGTGGGTATAAATACATCGTTCTCGTTCCACCCTGATCCTTCCAACACCATACCGGAGATCTCGTTGTCCAAATTGACAAGGAGCATCCTGCATGTCTCTTTTCCAAAAAAGAAAAACACCTCTTTCCATGGTTCATGGGTTGCTCTTTGGATAGGCGTCTTCTTTCTCCAAAAAGAGGGAGATACTAATCCATGCTTTAACAGCAAGTCCGTTTGCATTGCGTGTCCCGCAATGCCCGATGTTGAAGGGACCTCCATACTCACATTGTTGGCATGTGTGACTTGACCGAGCGAGAGTGAATTATACACCGCCAGGCATGGCTTTTGGTTACCTAGGTATGATGGACGAGCCCTTAGCATGCAGGGAAGATGTGAAAATGGCCGCGGATGGTCAACTTGTGCTGACGCCAAGTCTCAAGCATGTGATTTCGCGTCCCGAGGTCCCCACGATTGGCCAATTGCTGCGACACGTACCTTCACCTGGTGAAGTTTACAGCCACGACAATCTTGCTTTTGCGCTCAATCCGAGACGCAGTATCTCACCGTTCCTCAGCTTGGCACATGCGATCGAGGGAACAATTCACCACGACCTGACCTTCATCCTTCGCGACAACCCCACCATGGCACCCCCGCCGTCCTCCCTCTACACCCTCTCCTTCGCGATCGCGACCCTCGCTACTCTGCTGGTCGCGGCAACACTACGTTTGCTTGCCGTCCTTCCAAATGCGCGTGCAAAGTCCACACCACTGCGTAAGCGCCCGCTCGCAACACGTATCCTCGTCGTTCTTGGATCAGGCGGACATACACACGAGATGTTCTACCTACTGCGAGATCTGGACACACGGAAATACACACACCGAACATACGTGGTCAGCAGCGGAGATGCATTCTCAGCACAACGCGCCGCGGAGTTTGAGCGAGGACTCGAAGATGGAGAGAAGGAGCGACTGCGAAAGCAAGAATCGGAGAAAGAGGTGGTGCAACCAGATGGCACGGGAAGAAGACCTGTGATGGAGATTACAGATGCAGACGGCACAACGCATGCTCTAGAAGAGAAGAGGGCAGAGAGGCCAATATGCACTGGGCCAGACCACTACAACATCGCCGTCATCCCTCGAGCGCGCAAGATACACCAGCCACTCCTCACAACGCCTTTCACCTCACTCTACACCCTCCTATCTTCCTTCACACCTCTCCTCTGCGCGCCACCGCTTCTGGCCGGTCAAGCTCCAACAACGCCATACGAAGCTGCAGCCGCCGACCTCCCCGATCTCATCATCACCAACGGCCCAGCTACGGCTGTAATTCTTATCCTCGCAAGCCTCATACTGCGCTTCTCCAACATCAAGGGCGCGAATAGTAGGGGAAAGTGCAAGACAGTGTACGTGGAGAGTTTTGCACGAGTCAAGACACTGAGTCTGAGTGGGAAACTGCTGCTAAAGGTCGTGGATCGCTTCCTGGTGCAGTGGGAGGAGTTGGAGGGCGCAGGAGGACGAGCGGAATACTGGGGCATTCTGGTATGAGCTCAAGGACGATTTTATGGGAGAGGTTCAAGAGATCGTGGTATGCATGATGCAGGCGTTTGATGTACATTTACAGCGAAGATACCCCACAGGCCACAGAAAGCCTAGCTGAGTTTTCGGCTTCAATCCATGCTATATATACAAAAGGTATGCTACAAGTCTCGTGTCACAGGCGTGATGCGTTGTCATGCCATCGTCTCAGTCACTCTAGTCGAGGTCGGAGGTTTGACTGGGAATCTGCTTCTTGCCCAGATACGGCTTCGTAGCACTCTTCTGCATGTGCTGACCCAATGCCGCCAGCAAGCTCTCCTGGTCGACAAGCGGCTTCTCCTTCTGGCTCTGCACCTTCTTCTGATGCTCAAGCTCCCACCTCAATTGCATGGGCGTCTTCATTGCCTGCGCCGCTCTGTGCTTTTGCTTTGCAATTTCTCGCGCGACCACACCCTGTTCGGAGTGTTGCGCAACCTTGATAGGACGCGGTGCTTCGGGGTCCCTGTCTTTCTTCGCTTTGATGGAGAACTCGTGGATATCGCTACGGAGTTCTTCCGCAATCGTGTCGGGGAAAGGTGGCGCAACGAGCGTATAAGCCATAGACTGCGAACCTTCGACAATGTTTCGTCTTGTGTCCACATCATAGGCCGAAGGAAGCTCAGGGTCTATGCTTATTGGAGCGGCGGTCTTGAATCGTTCCTGCTCTTGCCTTTGAATCTCGGCGAATTTTGCCTCGAGGTCGACTGGGCTCCTGCCATTCGTTGCGTCTTGTTGAGCTTGGTCCTCCTTATTCTTGCTCCGCCAACGACTCAAGCTCGTGAATGGCTGGCTCACCTTGGCCAGGGCTTTTTTGAGTAATGTTTTCTTGTCTTTGCTTGTTTCTTTTGTGGTACCAACAGCTTCAGTTCCTTCCACACGTTCCCATGGCCATTCCAGTCGTTGCCGTGTGCCTGCGATGTATCGATGGAAGATGGGAAGTCCAGTTCGAGGATCGTATTGGTGTGCTTCGGGTATTGTGTCGTTCCCGTAGTCAGTACCGGTGTATGGATCAATGCCGGTGGTATGCCGCTCCATGTAGATCTTCTCGACCACGACGTCCTCGTAACGCTTCTGGTCTCCCTGGCCTATCTCGGCAGGTACCACGAGACGTACATTGCTCAAGGGCATAGGCACCTCGTTCTCTACCTTGGGCCCCATCTCTTCGGCAGCACTACTAAATAGACTAGTGTCGAAGTATTGCTGGCAAATGTTAACACTCAAATTTGATGACACAGCTAGGCGGGAAATACCAAGTTCATGCCCTTAATAACGACGTCGTGTGATCGATCTATGGTCTCTCGTACCACACCGACCTTGCCCGCCTCTTTTCCTTTCAGAATTACGACACGATCACCCTTCACAATTGGAAAGTATTTCTTATCGTCCACGACCAGCGGGTACTCGAGCTCGAGGCCTTTCTTTTCCCTAAAAGCGTTCCGGCTCTTCTGCGCCTCGATAGGTATCTCAGGCTTCTGCACCTGGCCGCCGGTGAGGGCACCGTATTTCTCAGCATCTGGGCCGACGGCGCGATTTGGCCTCAACGGACCAAGTTTCCAGTCCTCTTTTGCATTGGCCAGAGCATGCTTCCTGACACCCTTGATGCGCTCTTGTTCCCACCCTTTACGCGCAAGGATGGCTCGCTTGATTTCCCATTTGTCCTGTTTGAGTCCCTGGCGCTTCTTGCGTTCCCGCTCGTGCCATTGGATTGCGTTTTTGACCTTGCGGATCTCTTTGAGTTTTTTGGCCTGACGGGCGGCGTTGCGCCCCGGCCTGACGATCAATTGGCTCATGGTGGGCGGGATGGCGGCGGTGGAGATGGAGATGCGAGGGTTTGCGGACTACCGAGCCATCGAATGGCGGGCGGCGAGGGGTGTAGTGGCGGATACGACCGGGGAGATCAGACGGATACGGTGTGTCGTAGGGTTCGAGCCGGTGTTGTTTCCACGGCGATGGATTGTCGGCAGTCGTCCCTCCAGAAGTGGTGAACAGTGCATTCGACCTGGTGAGCCAAAATTCCGCGCCGGCGCCCGGGCGGTGTGGCCGCCTCGGCAGAATCCAAAACACGTCGCCCATGACATGGTGCATCAACCCTACCCATCACCACCCACTTCAGGTGTCTTCCCACCATGGCGCTATTACGGCGCAGACTGCGCTGCCATTACTGCAATACACTGTCACGCGACACTGTCTCGCAGCTACCCAAGACATTTCACTGTCCGCAATGCGACGCCGTGAATCACTTCGACCAAGTACTTACTCTACCGCATAAACACCCGAACCTCTCCAACTGACCTGCTGCCCAGCGCGGAAACATCACCGATCCGCCCATCGAAGAAGTCGCGACCGCCCCTCAAGCCTCCTTCCAACACCTGCGCTCCCGCTCCCCAACG